ATATTTAGTTGTAAACAAAAAAAGCTTGCAAGAAGCTAAAGATAAGCCTATATTAGTCAGGTATCATCCGTTATATTGAACCAGATTTTATTAAATTTAAAATTAGTTGGTCTTTGAACATGAATAGTATAAAAATTAGATGTCTAATTATAACTAGCATACATTCTATTTTACATTCATAAATTAGAATATAAATTAAATTATTATTTAGATACTTCTGCCCAATTATCTTAAAGCACAATCATGAACATAGGATTATGAAATCATAACAATTAATTTACAGTCTGTGTAACGAGATACATTTGTTTAATTTCAAAATAAATAAATAAACTAGCTATATTGCCTTCTATGGGAGATTGACGCGAGAGAGGGAGAGGAGAGGGAGTGCCGTCAGACCATAGGACATCCGGTCTGACGGAAAAATATCTTTTCTTTATCAATTAATCTGGCCAAGTTATTCAATCCCAAACCAAAGGTATCTAAATTTGATTTTTACATCTATGTTAAATCTATGGGGAAATTAACATTGTGGTGCATTAAGTGCCCGACGTGTGAAACACACGTTAATTTTTTTGTTAGAAAATTAGATTATTTAACAGTAGGATTGTTTTTACTTATATTTTATTAGTGAATGTTTTTAAAGTGTCACGAAAGTAATGTATATATGGCGATTCTGGGGCTTATGACAATACAAGTTAACAAAAATCAACAAACTCTATTTTCATATCATAAATTTAAAAAATAACAACATTATATAAAAATAAAAAATATAATTCATATCTTTTTAACTTCCATCATTTTCAACTAACAACATAAAAAACGTAACTAAAAACCATGAAGAAACATAACATTACAAATGGAAAAAGCTGGGCCTACGAGTCTCGTACTTTAAGTACACTCAAACTTTAATAAAAAATAGCCTATTTTCATCAAATAAAACTTACAAAATAGCTAATAAACCAACAATATGAATGAAAAATGCTGAGACAGTACGAGCTCGTACCCTCTGGTAACCTCTAAAAACTCATGAAAAATAGCAAATTTTTTTCATATAAAACAAAAAACTCACAAAAATAGTCAATAGAAAGCCTAAAATCAATCAAAAAAGCTGGGATTCTACGAACTCGTACTTTTCGTACCCCTCTAAAATTCATGAAAAATAGCAGGATTTCCACAATAAAACTCACAAAAATAACGTAATACTCACAAAAAATAGATAATATAAACCTAAACATTAAATGCAAAATGCTGGGACAGTACGACTCGTACCTCAATGAATCCTCGAAAACCATAAATAAAATGCGAAATTTTCACATTGTTTGATGATGAATTTAAGCTAAAGTAGTATACCCGTAATGATAAAAGTTCTCATCTTTAAAAATTCATATCTTTTAAACCAAATGAGATTAAAAGTTTAAACCCGTTGCATTAGGATTGTCTCTCAATAAGCTTCATTTTGATATCCATATGAATATGACCAGTGGTCAATATCAATGAATGGACAGTGGCCACTAACTTTTCAACCGGTCATCATAGAATTTTTACTCGTGTTTTGGTGAAATCAGTATGAAAAATGCTTTCCAAAGATATATATATTGTTGTACTTAGCTTAAATTTGATGGTCCTTTTAGAATAAAAATCATTACACATCAAAGTCACGTACACATATTAAAGCCTTCTATAAGAAAAAAATAACTGCTTCTCATTATCTCATAGAAAGCAATGTAAATCATATTCAAACACTTTAAAAGTTGTTTAACAACTATTTTAAGCTTAAAATTTAATGAAAATATCAACATTTTTTATAAATTAATAATTAAACTAATTGAATGATTTGATTGAAATTTTATTATATAGTCTAAAATAATAACTAACGAATGATATAAAATTCATACTGTTCTGAAAACATTTTTATTCATGATTTTTAAACTAATTATGAATAAACTTTATGACAATTTACTTTCTTAAACCTTGAAAAACAAAAATCTGCCTTTTAGCGTTTTAGCGTAGCAAATTTATTACCCATAAAGTTAACTAATTCCACTGGTGTATCTCCTTCAATGACATTGTCACATTAAGTTATTAATGAAATAACAGGTTTGGGTTTATATATTACTTGGTATTTTATTTGTACTTGTTTTAACATTAGTATACTTTTTCTATTATGGACAGTTTAACATATACAAATGAGTGAAACTTAAAATGTTCTCACCAAAATGCTGAAGAATTAAATGCTAACCAACAAATCACTTAGCATATTATCATAGTTTATAATTGGTGTCATTTCCATTCCATAGATGTCATTAGGGGATACAAATTCATGCACTTTGTTTGTGTTGGCTAATACACCACATTTTAAAGATAATCCCTTAGTACCTTTATCATATTATTGACCTATGAATCTATTTTATCTATTTACAGGTACCTCATGAATTCAGGCACATTGTATTACGTGACTAAACACATAAAACACATTCTATTTACAACAAAATTTATTTTAGCTCGATGAAATACTTATTAAATAAGCAAATCAACCAAAACGTTACCAAGCATAATATTTTAAGCCAAAAATGGGTTTGTCAATCAATTTTATATAAAATTTATTTATATTTAAGTATAAACCCCCTCGTTTTAAGCTAGATTAATTCTATCAACCTAGTTTATCATAAATTAAGCTATTCTTATTTTATTATTTAGACTCGTAAAATTTATATTGTACCTTGCTAACAATTATCCCATCTATATCAATTTATGTAACCTTAATACCGCTTAACATAAATTTTACGTTATCTAAATAATGGAATAAGGATAACTATTAATTATTTTAGCAAGCACAAATACGGCAATTGATGAATGGAACGATGTCGGTACAGCACTGGTGCTTTACACAGAAAATCAAGATGAGAAAACATTGGGTGAATGTATCGAGAAAATGTTTGGTGCCATCAAGTTCGTGGCCCCCTATGCCAGTACAGTGGCCAGCTTTGTCAAGCCAATGTTCATATCTGACCCAGTGATGCTCAAACTTAACCAGATAAATGAAAAGTTATTCGACCTTGATAAAAAGTTTGATAATATAGTTAGCGAGATAAAGGAGGTGTTTAAACTAAGCGAGTATAACACGTCTTTGAACAAGCTGCATAAGATACAGGTAGGATTGCCAGCTTTTCGAGTTATTAATTATATTAATTTATAATTATAATACAATTATCATTATTAGATTTAAAGTAATTTAGCGTGATTAAAAAATTAAGTTAATTAATTTAAATTATCAAGGAATACTATTATTAATGTGGGTGACCCTAATTTCAGAACCTCTATACTCGCTTTATTAAGACGCCAAACACAGTTACATTGGACGCCCTAAATAAGCAAGGCGAGCTAAATGAGATGTACGAATTCATCAATTGGCTTCACCGAGGGGTGACTTCATCGGCTTCATCGGGTCAGAGCCTGAACCCAATTATAGTCTTTATGAAAGCCGATGAGGATTACCCTAAGTTTATCAAATGGACACAATTGATCTTGGCACATTACGCGCAAGCTATGCTATTGCACGGCATTAGCGTTAAATTGCGACCTAACGTTAGCATGCAAACTTTGGATCAAACCCTGGAAAAAGATACGGCCCTATTTGAAAAGTAATTTTTATTAAGCACACTTTTAAAAATAATTATTAGGTTTTCCAAAAAGTTTTACGAGGTATGATTTATTCAGCAATTGATAGAGATATTGAGAATATTTTTGAACCTCAACTATGGTTTTTACTCTTATGTATTCACCAGAAGAGATTACTGGATTAGAGCACCGGTAGTTTGGGACAGG